CATCCCAGAGCACTACTCCTGTCCTGTGGTGACAGGACACCCGGCCGGTGGCTGTCACTGCTCCTGAGCTGATACTGACTTTTCTCCTTCATTCTCCCTTGCACACTCCCTTTGCTTTCAGCCACACGTCAAGAGATCAGAGCCCATTCTCCAGTGGAATGACCCACATCTTCAGTCCTGACTGATCTGTATCCTTGCTTCTGCCACTTGAGGTCACAGTAGTCTTCCATTAACTAGTTCACTAGTGATGGTAGTAAAGAGGACAACCAAGGGAATTATAAGGTCACAGTAGTTTTCCACTAACTAGTCCACTAGTGATTGTAGTAGAGGGGATAACCAGGGGAATTACTTGTATTTCACGCACATTCCTCCCTCCCCTCGTTGTATAGCAGCAAATCTATCTCCCTTTGTGCTACAGACTGAATGTCTTTGTCCCCCCAAAATTCACAGTTGAAATTCTAACCCAATATGATGGTATCAGGAGGTGTGGCCTTCGGGAGGTGACTGGATCATGAGTGGATCATGAGGGTGGAACCCTCATGAATGTGATTCATGCCCTTAAAGAAGTCACCCCACAGAGCTCCTTTGCCCCTTCCACCATGTGAGGAGGCAACGAAAAGTGGCCGTCTATGAACCAGGAAACTGGTTCTCAGCAGACTGTGAATCTGCCAGCACCTTGATCTTGGACTTTCCAGCCTTTAGAACTGTGAGAAATAAGTTTCTGTAGTTTATAAGCCACCCAGTCCGTGGTATTTTGTTATAGCAGCCTGACTGCTATACAGCGGACTACGACACCTTGGTATCATGCGCTGCCATGATTCTGTTCGGCCAGTGGAAGGAGCAATCAGAAATGGCAAAGCGAAATAGATTCCTTCCCTCTATCAGGGGGATTGACGCTTGTAACTCCATTGGATGTGCAATTTCTGTCAGGTACTTCTGCTTCAGGCTGGTCAGGACAGTTTCACTTCCCAGTTCTTCATCCTTGCCAGGAACTAAGTTAGGGGGGCACTGTGAAGTGTGCCCAATGTCAAAGTGTTTCTCATGTCAGTCAGCCCAGCGATCGGTCACTCCTTTGGCAAATTTTGTCCTTTCCTGAAGCAACTTCTGGACTTGAATAGGCGTCATCCTGAGCCTCTGGGCCAGCAGCTCTTCTTCCCAGCCCCGGTGAGTGATGGTTTGGGGGTGATGGTGGAGCTCTGGACTTGGCTGGCAATGGACTGAAAGAGAGACAGCCACCTGCACCTCTCTCAAGCTTTCTGGCCCTTTAGCTGCTCAGGTGAGCTCCATGAGGGCAGGACCCTACACGTGTGTCCTATTGAATCTTTGTGTGGCTCACTTCCAATCTCAAGGCCAAACGAGGGAGAGCATGTCATTTGGCCTGAACCTTCTAGCCCGGGATTGGGCACAGTTCTAAATCCATGAAGCCTCTCAGCCTACAGATCACAGCGTAGGAACCAGGGACCCATCTGTAGGGCCATGAGCTTGCCCATAGTCGTCAAGTCACATGGCAACACTGCTGAACCTACCAGGAGAGGGCTTATGTTCTTGGACTGGCTGGAACTGTGCGGCTTTCTAGAAGCTGGTAGTATACCGATTCGCAGTTTACTTGGTCTGCCCACAAAAGTGAATTTGAATACATACGGTTTAAAGAACATTTGTAAACACGATGAAATTGAGCATTAAGTAAACACTTCATCTCTGCACAGCTAAAATGTCCATGCCATGACCTGTTGCACTTTAGCTATATGCATATGTGCATACATATGTATGTTTAAGTATGTGTATCTGTATTCCTGTTTTCGACAAAGTAACTTTACCTTATTTCAAGATTAAGTTGGACATGCTATTATGAGTTGTGCAGGACTGCGCATTCAGAAATGCTTTCTATAGCATGGAAAAGATTAAATCATATTTTTGCCCCTCTTTAAGTCGGTCAAGGGGAGGAAAAATTATCCTGAGGGGACATATGTGAAGAATACATAAATATATGTATTAGCCTTGAGAAGGCAAAGCTTTGAGTTAGCGAAGCTTTGAGTTGTGTCACCAGAGGCAAATTAAGTGCAGAGTGAACAATTACATGGTGAATTCACCCCACCTAAATTGTCAATCTGCAAATAATAATAATAATAATAACTGTTATTATTATTGTTTAAAAATGTGTCCACTTTTCTTGACCTGAAAAAACTGCTTTACCTTGTGCTTAAAGTTATGTGGATAATTACTTCAATTTCAATTTTATTTTGCAATAGTGTAGACATTGCTTAGGCAAAAAAACCCCAAAACCCTGAGCTTCCCTGATTATTGGTTCCCCAATTGTAAAAATAACGGACTGGATCCAAAAACTTGCATGATTAACATTTATGAATGTAAAAACAGAAGTAATAATATGTATCTGTTTTAAACATCAGAAAAAATTAAAAGCAGGACACTGACAATTTATCCATTTCGTGCTTCTGTACATTTAAACTCATAATTCAGGGCCCAGAGCCCTACGACTGTTTCTCTGCAAGCTTCTGGTGTGCACGTGATATGTCTGATATTGTGAATGCAGAATGAAACCGAGTTTTGTTTTTTTTAATATACTGCTTGCTCCTTTAGAGCATTATTTAACTTCAGAAGCAAATCTATTTTCTCTAATTGTCAATGGAAGCCGTGGGTTACCATAGTTACAAAGTAAAGAGTGTTATTGAAAAGAAGAAAAGAAAGACTAATGAAATTTTAAATGACAGATTCCAAGATATCAGGAAATTGCCTCAACAGGGAACTGGGAACTTATCAAGCCGCCAATCACAGTAATTCCCTGCAAATGTATCAGTACCTGGGTCTCTTCAGGTTTTCCATATATCGGTTCTACTGCACTTCGAAATGCTGATCCCAGTAATACGGCCAAGCCTGTTGTTAATGCCTGTCTGCCATTAGTCTAGCTGCATGAGGACACACTTTACCCACCACAGAGCATGTTCTGTGACTTGCTCACACGAGAATTTGGTAGGGCACCCCTGGAGAAGGAATGTCGGGTGCATTTAAATTATGTACTTCTTTACACTGCCCTATTTTCTCATGTTAGCGAGTTGCTGCACTGGAGACCCACCTGTCAATGGTCTTACAATGTGTTTCAAGGATGGTGCCAGCCACCAACATAGTCAAAGACATATGTGGTAGGTAAAAAACACTTTTAAAAAGTCTAATATATTAAGATTTGTTTTTGCTTGAGAGAGGCATCAATAAAGAATTTATTGAAATGTCATACAAATAGAATATTCACATAAAATGATAAAAAGTAAGGAGAAAAATCTAGTGAATAAACAGACATTAGAATGAATTGGGAATCCATCTGCTTTGTGTCACTTATTAAAATACCATAATAAGATTTAACTGCATGCTTGCTAGACTAGGAAAAAATACATACCCCCAGGACCATCACCACTCTACAGTGAGTCTCTGCATAACTTGTCAGAAAAGAGGCAATAGTTAGTGTTTATGTGCTAAAAATTGCATACTTGGGGCTTTTAAGAACCACAAAATTGGGGCCGTCCGGTGGCGCAGCAGTTAAGTGTGCGCGCTCCGCTGCGTCGGCCCGGGGTTTGCAGGTTCGGATCCCGGGCGCGCACCGACACACCACTTGTTAAGCCATGCTGTGGCGGCGTCCCTTATAAAGTAGAGGAAGATGGGCACGGATGTTAGCCCAGGGCCAGTCTTCCTCAAGAAAAAAGGGGAAGAATGGCATCGGATGTTAGCTCAGGGCTAGTCCTCCTCACAAAAAAAAAAAAAAAAAAGAACCACAAAATTGATTTAAAGAATGGTTTCAAATGGTAAAAAGAGAAATATATAACAAAGACATGCCATTAAACTGGTGTGTTTCTAACTGCTTCTTAGTAATTAAGAGTTCATGCTTGGCAAAGCCCCACAAAAACAGATTTAAGACGGTGTACATGAATTAGAATAAACCCACACCCAAGTCCTCAAAGCGACAGGAAAACTACTTAAAAAATGGAAGACTTAGGATCAGTATAACATGATCTAAAAATAATAAATGAATGATTATTCTGGATTTGATTCTTATTTACTAAGCTACTTGGTTGACTTGGTTCTTCGTGTTTAGTAGTATTTTATCTATTTAAGTTCCTACAGTAGATACATCCGGTATATAGACCAATAGCTGAACATCCGGTGAAGTACAGTCTTGTAGGAACAGAGAGTCAGAGAGACAGAGAAACTGACACAGAGAGAGAGAGGGAATATGAAGGACAGGCTAGGTTTTAGAACAAGGAAGCATCAAAACAGCCTGATCATCGCCTCAGTTGGGGGGCGAGGTTTGGAGGGAGGAAGGTGGGGAGGGGGTAAACTTCTACTGAAGAATGAGGAAAACATACCCAGTTTCAAAATCTCTGGGGCTTCTGGTCTACCCTCCTCTGGCCACCCTGCTACCTCCTTACCAGCAGGAATTGCATGCACCTATGAAAAGCAGACTTCTGTTCCTACACCGTTCTCAAAGACCTTTAAGGATGCTGACTATTTCTCCAATCCTTCCTCTCCCATCAGTGCCCTGGACAGGAGGGTTCAGGACCGAGGGTTCTCGGTTCGGCCTGAGAACGTGGTTCCTTCTGTTCTGGAACACTGGTATCTCATGCAAACACCCAAGCTTCATGTCAAAAGGGTGCTGCCACATTCTCTGTAGAGAGAATGCACACATGGAAGCCCTCCATTTTCAATGGTCTATGGTTCACCCAAAGAGCCTACCCTCCTACGTTTTAAACAGGCTTTTCAAAGGACACGATTGTTCTCTGAAAAGGATTCCTTATCACCTGAGTGTATCCTTCTTAAAGATGTTGCCAAATTCTAATACAATGCCTCTTATTTCCCTGTACTAAGTAATAATTTAAATATTAAAAATAATTGCAAATATCACAAAAACAATAAAATTGACAGAGTTCTGATAGGTTTTTTTAAAAAACGGATTTAATTCGAAAGCTCCATAAAGCACTGTCTGAAATGTGTTTTGCACTGTTATAAACTTTTAAGCATTCTACTCAAACCAATTTTCTTTAAGTAAAAACTGAATGGCGTCATCAAAGCCATGTTGAAACAGTGATTCCATTTTCCTCTTGCTTGGTGGGAAAAGGGCGTGGTTAAGCCTCACCAAGTTTGCCATGGACAACTAGGACAGAAAGACAAATTGAAGCTATAGGATGTTACGGTACAGGGAATGTACATTATTTCTGTAACCTAAGCTTTCTTATCACAGATGCAATCAGCGATTAAAATAAAAAATCAGCAGGAAAAATTAAACTTAAAAAGCTAACTTCGGGGCCAGCCTGGTGGCATAGCAGTTAAGTGCGCGCACTCTGCTTTGGCAGCCCTGGGTTCGCAGGTTCGGATCCTGGGCGCGCACCAATGCACTGCTTGTCAAGCCACGCTGTGGCGGCGTCCCATATAGAGTAGAGGAAGATGTTAGCCTAGGGCCAATCTTCCTCAGCAAAAAGACGAGGACTGGCAACAGATGTTAGCTCAGGGCTGATCTTCCTCATTAAAAAAAAAAAAACCTAACTTCACCCATACACTAGATGAGAGTTTCTCAGCCTCGGTACTATTGACATTTTGGGCCAGATACTTCTTTGTGGCGTGGGCTGTCCTGTGCATTGTAGGATGTTGAGCAGCATCCCTGGCCTCCACCCACTAGATGCCAGTAGCACCTCCCAGATGTGACAACCAAAAAGGTGTCCAGACACTGCCCAATGTCTCCTGCATATAATATCACCCCCTGTTGAGAACTAATAGACTAGATTAAGGGAACCAATACCTTTATGTAAATTATTCAGTTAAGTCCCTAAGTTCTTCTCCAATATTTTTACATACTTAATTACTGCCATCTTTTTAAACAGATAAACGATCTAATTTAAAATTGTACTGAAATCGTGCCAGTTTACTGACCTGAAAAAGAAGTGAAGAAACAGAATATATTTCACAAATAGGCAGTTAATAAATAATAAAAGGACTGTACACTCACTCATAGTCTATAGGTCCCCAGATCCATATGCATGATGATAATGTTGTAAAGTACTAAAACACATACTACTGAGAAGATGCAATTTGTACATAAAATTATCGATGAGCTTCCAAGGTTTTGGAAGCATGTGCAAAATTTTAGGAGATTAGGACTCTTCAAACCTCAGTAAACATAATTACTCACCATTATGTCCTGATTGGCAATGTTAACATACAGATCTAGCTGCCCTTTGTCCTGCGGGGAGATGTCCAGTCGTCCACTGAAGGGAGAGATGGTCACTGTCCGGCCTACCGGCAGGATGGGAAGGCTATTGGTGAGGCCTCCGTCCACCCACCTCTGTGGAAAGAAACACCCCTTGTCGGCACATGTCAACAATACATCTCCCACGTGAAGAAAATGAGCACAGATTTCTCAACAGGACTGTTTCCTCCTAACACCTCCATGCCTTGGATATGCTCTTAAATGACTATTGATGAGGACTAATTCGATTGGGGATTTGTTTTGCTTGCAAAACATACACATATCATGACAGGATCAGGAAACTCTCCAATTGTTTAAAAGCTTTAACCAGATTATTTTACATAAGATGTACCTAAATTTTTACTGATGACAGTGTGTTCCTAAGAAGACGTGTAACTAGGTTGGGATTCATTATTTAATCAAAGTGGAAAGCCAAGTTTACTGTTGACACTGAACAAACCATCCACCACTATAGGACATTCCATTTTTCTTATAAGAACTGGAAATCGGCATTTTCAGCAGCAAACTTAGAAATAAATAGAACAGCCAGAAATCCCGCTGATTCCAAAGTGGCTCCTGAGCTCATGAGGTCTTAAAGCCACAAAGGATGAGAGGTGCTGCATAAAAAATGAACATTACTCAGAAGAGAGTCTGTGCTTCAGACCCATGCCCAAAGGAGAGGGATGGACAGAGCAAGATGGAGAAGCTTCTAGAAGAACTGTACACTGCGGAAGGACTGAAGAAACACAAAGACAATATTCATTATGCCATCTCAAGGCAAAAGAGTCTCAATTCATCTTTAAACTGACGTATTAACATAATCAGCTTTAGCAATAAATAAACACACACACAAAACTGAAGTTCAAATTCTCTAAGATATATCTGTCATGGGAAATATCCTTCATTTGATATGCAAAAAAAAAAAGAAGAAAAAAAGTCTGGCAATGACTTTTGAGTACCCCTCACAAAGGAACCTCGAGTGGGGAAGTTTGTACACTGAGTTTCGCTTGAACATTTATTTAAAATGTAATGTAGAAAAAACAAAGCTGGGCTGTTGAGCACAAAGGTGGAGAGAAGAGGAGGAATGGGTTAATATAAAATGTCCTTAACTCAGTTACAACAATTCATTCATTTTTTTCCAAGGTGTCTTTTTTTTTTTGCAAGGAAGATTGGCCCTGAGCTAACATCTGTGCCAATCTTCCTCTATTTTGTATGTGGGATGCCGCCACAGCATGGCTTGATGAGCAATGCGGTGTGTAGGTCCATGCCTGGGATCCAAACCTGTGAACCCCGGGCCACCAAAGCAGAGAACATGGACTTAACCACTATACCCCCCCCCCTTTTTAAAAATATATATCTAGTTGTTTTTATTTGTCAAGCTGGTGACTAAATGATCCATACTGTACTGTTTACAAAGCCCTTGGCCAGCCACCAACTCCTCCAAAGCAAATAAAATAAATAAATGAAAAGTGAAAATTTCTTTTGAGGGAATTGCATTTTGGTGGAGAAGAAAACATAAGTAGATTGGATTAAAATGAAACCAACCTAGATAATTTGCATATTGTCATTATTTTTAAAAGAACAAACACACATTATTATACAATGATACTATGCGTATTACATAGACATACATATTGATACGTGTTTGTGTATATGACGTGTATGTGTTGTATGCTTACATATATGCATATATGGCTATACAGACACAGTTTAAAAAAGGAAGGTTTACAGTAAGAAGGCCCAAAATACGTGGTTCTGTGCCTTATTGTCTCAGGGCTTTTTTTTTTCTTTTTCTGATGCTCTGGGTGTGGATATCAATTTCTGCAACAAGTTAATATCTAGAGAGAAAAAAAAGACACCTTCCAAAATTATCTTTCATATTCTCCATAGAATAACTCACCAATGATGTAAAAATTCATAGAGGTTTCATCAAGGGAAATTAAAAATATGTACTATGTGTCATATAACTTTAAGTAAGATCTCATCTGACTTATTCAACTTAAGGAAGAGATCTGGCTCATTAAATTAATCTGGCTCATTAAATTAATCTGGCTCATTAAATTGCAAAGTGTTCTCTTTTACCATGGGGTTAATGACTGCTGTTTCAGGGAAGTGAAAATCCTTTTTCCAAATTTTGTTCACTCTTGTTAGCTTACTCTGGATAAATGACTACGGAAAACATACAGCTTATCAAATGACTTGATTAAATCTGCAATGTTACTAGTTCCTCTGTAACTATAACCCCACCCGCTCAGATATTCTAAATGCAGTGCATCTTACTCCTAATTTATGCTCTCATGAGCTGTATTGCTCCCAACAACCACACGTGCATTCAGGTACGCTGATTCTAGCAAAATTTCTAGAAACCACGATAACAGCAGCAAGTATTCCTCAACCTCCACAGTATAATGGAAACGTTTTATATCTTGTATGTTACTGAGAGTTTAAAATTCTGTATCTTAAATACTGTCCATGAATTCTCTGGTTGTTTGCTCCACATTCCTGTGAGTCATTCCCACCTCGTGGGCAGCATTCCATCAGCTGGTAGCTACTGCCATGAGCCTCTATGATTCCAAACTCTTCCTCAAGGAAAATAACTCTGCTGGTTCTTCCCAGGATGGTTTTGCCCTGTGTTTGTTAATTTTCAGCACATGTCACCATCATCCTCAAAGGAAAAAGAAGGCCACAAGCAAAACAAATTCCCCAGGCAAAATGTGTTGCAAAATCAAACTTGCTGCTGGCTGTACAGTTGCTGTCACTTGTCCAAAGACCCTTTCTTCCAACCTCTGAGCATATTCCAAACGTGCTCCACATTCAAGTGAACTGCTTGCATCCAAAGAGTTGTGAATAAACAACTGCTCAATAGAAAAGAAAATCTCATGCCTGATGGAGGAGTGGGGGTCTACTGTGATTGTTCTCTAAGGGTTACAGCACTGAAAACTGAATTAACAGAATCACTTTTAAAAGGCCAGCGGTACCTTCACACCCAAAGGGGCCAGGTTATCATCTGCCTGTACTTGTCAAATTTTCCCCTACACACTGATGTGTTATGGGCACATATGAAGAACATGTGTCAAGGTTTATGAATTGAAGCAACTCTTGTTATATAATTTAAGGGGAAACTTAAAGAAAAACCTGAGGAGGTAGTCTCTCCTGAAAGGGCCTATTTATTCCTTAGGCAAGTACTTCCACAGCATCTAGTACACGCCTGGATATGTGTCAGAGACTGGCATGTTTGTGATAGAACACCATACAGGGCTGAATTTTCTTCAGGTGTATTGTGCTCAAAAAACAAGTACCTAGAAAATACTTTGTTGGAAGAATGAATGAGATGTTGATATCTACAATTATTATAAATATCATGGCACAGGGCCTAATGGTTTATAAAACTTCTCACATGTCATTTAATTTGATCTTTATAAGGACCCTAGCAAGCAGGAAGGTCGTGCTAGGATACTGTTTCCTCATTTTACAGAAAAGGCCATTGAGGCTTGCAGGGTTACTTGCTCTAGGTCAGGGGTTGGCAAACTATGGCCCACCATCTGCTTCTATAAATAAAGTTTTATTGGCACACAGCCATACCCTTTCACTAACGTACGGCCTGTGGCTGCCTTCCCACTGCAACAGCAAAGTTGAGTAGTGTGTCGATAGAGACCGTACGTCGCACACTGCCGAAAGCGTTTACCATCTGATACTTGACAGAAAGTATCTGCCAACCCCTGCTGTGGAGTCTGCTGGCAAAAGGGGTGGAGCTGGTCTGTTTACTTCAGCTCACTGTTCCTTCTCACACGTCGTAACACACAGCAACGCGTGATGGAGGCAGGGCAGAGCAGAACTGTTTTCTTCAGGGTTGGGGAGGAGCGGACCAGGGAAAGTAGGTGTGGTTTGAAAAATAATTTTGTAGTTGCAAAGAAATCTTCTTTGCTTTCATGCTATAGAGAACAGTCACGTCTGACAGAATGTTCTTCGTCAGTGATTCTCAAAATAGAGGAAAGAGAGAGAAGGAGATACCCACCCCCGAGGACATAGTGGGGAATCCCCCCGTTCCAGAATCTCCCATTTGGGGTGAGAAAACACAGGAGGGGAGGAGAGACACATGAGATTTTTTAATCAAAGGGAGACAGGTTAAAATAAAACTTTAAAAAAGAGGTTGAGAAACCCTGCCATACCGACCTCTACTAACTAATGATTTTTGGTACATTGCTGTCTTCCTTAATTTTTGGATTTCTGAAGGTTGCTCAAAAATGGTGACTCTTGATAGCCAATTTTGAGAAACCTCTAAAGGGTTATTTAGCAGTTGATATTCTGTAAATGCTATGTAGGAAATATCACCTGAGAGAGTCACCTATTTTTTCAAAAATCAAAAAGACGATACCAAAAAAAATGTTTTAAAAGCTGCTGAAAAACAAGAGCTTCTATTTCAGAGTAACGTAAATTGATGACCAGATTTCCATCAAGCTAAATCTAGCCAGTAGCCAGGTCAGCCACCACTGTTTGCTATGACAGTGAGCCACACAGCCATGTAAAATGTCTAATCCATGAAGAAACAGAAGCCTAAGGACTACAGTAATAACTTCATATAAATACATAGTAATGAAGAGTACTCTACAATTTTCTTTCCCACAGATATGTCCATGATGACAGGATTAATAACCCATAACCCACGTAAAAGGCTCCATGAACTAGAAGAATACAATGATACATTTTCTCTATATAATACACAGTCAAAATATTACTTGAATTCTAACTCAGACCAAAAAAAAACTACACCTTTTCCTGTGATCTGCATATATCAGTTCTAGAGAATATCTTATTCTGTTATTCTGATATTTTATTCACTTGCCAATGCTAATGCTATCTCTTAAAAAAAACCTTATTCGTTAAGGACTCCTCTTACAATTCCTCATTCTTGTTCCAAACTGGTGACAAGTACCTGTGAAAATGTGGCCTGATAGTATGCTTAACTTATTGGATCACTGGAAAGAGGCCACAGGCACTGAAAGAAAATTCATTAGTAAACATACAAGACTGTGGGGCCGGCCCGGTGGCGCAAGCAGTTAAGTGCACGCGCTCCGCTGCAGCGGCCTGGGTTTCGC